CGTTTCACACACGTCTAACTATTTGGGACAGATTTAGTATTTAATGTATAATTGTAAAAACATTTTAAAAAATTCACATTAGCTTTGAGTCAGCACCAATTATTGTTAATTTTACATATCAGAATAAATCAAGTATGTTTTTTTTTAATAAACTTGCATGAAGCAGAAGATGAGCAGGCTGTGGTTAGCTTCAWGACGGAGTACATGAAATGAAGCGTGAATGCCAGCCGAGTGTAAAACCACGTTTCACACACGTCTAACTATTTGGGACAGATTTAGTTTGTACTAGTTTTTAATCTCAGATTAAACTACAGACCCCACACACAGAAGCGCTGGTCCGCTCCAGCTGTGAAGATGTGAGTGTTGTCRGAGTTTATGGCCAAATGCAGAACTCGCTGAGAATGACCTTAAAAAAACACAAAAACAGTATTTATTTACAACATAATTATTACACAATGAACGCGTGTCAGTTTTTATTTTAACCAAAAATATAGGCTAATGAGAATTCAAAATGTGCTTTTGCATGGGAAAAAGTTTAAAAAAAAATAGAGCAATAAAAAGAAAGTGTTAGGATTACATTCCCATCATCATCTGTGGATTAAATCCAGCATTTAATTGAAACATTTTTTATCTCCTTCATGTCTATCTGCTTCTTTTTTTTTTTTAGCACTAATGAAGAAATTTAAAGTTAGTAGAGGTTAGTACTGATGTTAAAAGCACAACACTATATTCTTAGGTTTTCCTTTTTGTAATGTTGACAGTGTTTAACCTATTATGTTTTGATTGATAATAGATTAGTTACGTGTCGGAAATATCTGTGACAACACATAATTAAACGTTGTGATGACATTAGCTGAGGATTTTGTCTGAATGCCTGTGATTCAGCCGTAGGTCAGYAGGGGRCGAACGCAGGCATTGAAGAACCTGTATAAATAGATGAACTTCCTGGTTTTTCACCRGTGTTGGTTTCCTGTCAGCTTGAGTGACAATAAACCTCACTCAGATCCAGAATTCTGATGTTGTATGGTTTGATTCCTTCTACAAATCATTTTATTTAACAATGGTGTTTTTAATATCGACTTCAGTTTATTGAATACGAATTTTCTTACACTGTCATTGTCACCTGTTTATTCCCTCAAGAGAATCGAATAAACAACAAATATAACTACTGAAAGTGCCATTTAGAATTTTTTTTAATTTACAAGCCTTTCATTGCCCTTTAAATTCTAAATATCTCATGAATCTGGGGCAAACTGTCAAGCTTTGGATCTAAATAGCTCAGTTTCAATTTCAGTGAAGCGCCAGGTATGAATGAATCAGACAAACCCTCAAAAACTGAACTCTGAAACTGATGTAGTGCTATTATAATGACATATTCCTACGAGGGTGGGCTGTTGTGTTAAACGGGTGGTCTTGCCTGCAGTGACAGAACATGTAATGTACAGCTGGTAAAATAAGTATTGAACACGTCACCATTTTTCTCAGTAAATATATTACTAGAGGTGCTAATGACATGAAATTTTCACCAGATGTTGGTAACAACCCAAGTGATCCATACAT